GGCCTTCAGAGAGTGCTACCGGCTGTGATGTCAACATTGAGTACGAGCTGCAGGAGGAGAGTCTCGAGCTCAATGACGTCGTCATCAGCATCCCCGTTCCGTAAGTACATCCACTACACGATGTGTGTGTATACGCTCCCAATGACTTCGGTCAATGGGTTGTTAATGCATTAAAAGTAATTGTAGTTACTCTGTTATCTGTTACAACAAAGAATCGACACCTAGCACGTCACAGGATTTAAGAAACTTGAAAATATTCTAGTTTTTATTAGATTAGGAATCTTGTCAGTGTTTGGGTTTGTAAGACTAATGGTACGTGGCTGCAATTAGTTGAATTTTAATACAAAACCATAAAGAATAGAAAATGATTTTTGTTTCTTGTGCAGTTTTATTGTTTTTTACTTTTTCGTAGTGAAAAAATAATGCATCCATTACAAACATCCATAGAGAAATGTTTTGGGATATCAGCATTTTCAGTTCAGACATTCATTCATTGATGTGTTTGTGTTTGTGATCCTCTGCAGGTCAGGGGTGGGAGCTCCAGTTATCGGTGATTTGGACGGCGAGTACAAACATGACAGCAGGCGAAACATCTTGGAGTGGTGCCTACCTGTCATTGATTCCAACAACAAGACCGGCAGTCTGGAGTTCAGCATCGCCGGACAGCCCAATGACTTCTTTCCTGTCAACGTGTCCTTTCTGTCCAAGCGCAACTACTGTGACATCCAGGTGAGTTACCGATCAGACAGGTTACCTCCCGTGTCAGGAGTTTCCGTGTGCGGAATCTTTTTCAGCCAGCGTCTTCACGAATGTTTCTAACGTGTGAGTGGTGGTACAGTTTGAACCATGCAGCCAGGGTTAGGAGTTGAGATCTCAAACTTTTGCAACTAAAGCTCCAAAAAGTCTGAACCTGAATGTGTTTGACTCTAAAATGATTTCAGCTGTTGGTTAACCGTTAAGTAATTCTGTGTTAATGCATATGGCATGAACATTTCCAAAGAGTACCTTTCGGCACCTTTGTGGCAAAAAAATGCCCCAGTGAAAAACACTATAACTGCTTTTTATTATGTCTTCGGGTTGCGACCGTACAGACGTACATTCCATTCCTGTGAACACGTTATCTCCAGATGCCTTGAGGGAATTTCCTCTGATTTGGTCGAGAAAATATTTTTTGTGTTTTTGTAACAAAAGTTTTGGTTCCTTGTGAAACTTGTGGGACAAATTAGAATACGTTTGGTCGCCACAGTCTAGATAATTAATGGGAAACACTGCTTGAAGTGTTTCCCATTAGTTATGGGATAGATACAGTAAAACAGTTGTAGTCACTGCTGATTGTACTCATTGATGATAAACTACTTACATGCTGTTAATTGACTTCCTTTCCCCCCCCCAGGTTACCAAAGTGACTCAAGTAGATGGCGACATCTCCACTAGATTTTCTTCAGAAACCTCCTTCGTCGTCGACAAATACGAAATCCTGTAAAATATTCAGAAAAACGACAAAATCAGAAAAAAAAAGAAAAAAAAATCACCAACAAAAAAGTCCTATTCTACAGAGAAAGATTGAAGATTTCTTGCCTGCCCACCCTGTATACTATTTCAAAGACTGTGTACATCGACAGGACGACATCAGCCCTCCGGTCGAGGCCTCTTCCTGTGGTGGAGCAGAGCAGCGGTGGTGTATTTATATGTTTGTATGAGAGAGGATCATCTATATATAGAGTTAATTGAACAGGTAAAATCAACAAACTCACACACAAAAAAAAGAAAAACTACACTGATGTTGTTGTGTTTGCCGACCAGAGCAGTAAAGACAACTTCAGACAAAGTAGAGGATGACTGGTAGGGGGGGGGGGCAGCAGCGGCCATCTCATCATCAGTCTGCCATGTGGTAGAGAGAGAGAGAGAGAGAGAGGGAGACCACGGACCTGAGGCCACTGTATCAGTCTCCATCAGAAAGAGCTGGTAGTTCAGATCATCCTCCACAAACTTTCTCCTTCTCACTCACATTGCAAATGGTTCATCAAATCATGAATGGGGTTCTTGCTTTCTGTTATCCATAGTAACTGCAGCATTGTAGCTGTCTCAATCATTATAAGCCTGTCGCTCTTTAATTGTTAAACTATTGTGATTTGCTCTAATGATCTCACTGCAGATTTTTTTTTGTTTTTCTCTTGTGAGAACTTTGATTTTTTTCAGTTTTTTGTAGAGAGGTAACACGTTGGTTCTTCGCTGAAATGCAAAAAATATGGCTCAGTGCTGAACGTCCTTTCTGTACTGTCTGTGGTTATCATCAGCAAAATTGTCCTTTTTATTTTTAACTTTGATATTTTTTACTGTTTGCTGTTTGATTTGTCAAATGTTTATCATTAACTTGGATATTGGAATTTGACAGTGAAGAGCAGGACATTGTAAGGGATCCTCAGCTGCAGGGCAAAGTGAATTACCAGTAAATATATTGGACTTTCGCATTAATTGAATGTTCTGACTTTTTTTTTTTTGTAACATGAAAGCAACCACTCCTCACTTTGTCAGAAGGAAACGCCGCCATGTTTCATTCTGCTCCATTTAAGTCACTAATCAGCTCTTAGATACGACGGAATGAAAAGTTCTTTGAACACAGAAACAACACACGAGCTACTAATCTTACATCTGACATCTCGCAAAGCGTTGTTGATCTGAGGTGGGAGTGGGTGTGAGTTGTTTCGATGGTAGAAATCCATGCACACCAGGAGAGCAGGGATCAGACTGTCAGCCTGATATTCAGCCCCACGGGTTCGAGGTGGCGGAGCGACTGCTGCCGACAACCTCTGCCCATCCGCCCAGTCATCCTTTACTTACATTCTCACTGTACATCAATATTATTCAAAACAATGTTTTTCATCTTGTTTATTTTTTATTTTTTTTTCCTTTTCTTTTTCATTTGTACTCCCCAAATTTCAATTTGGCAGAGGCTCTGTGGATGTGGGGTTGAAAATGGCTATTTTGAGCATTTTTAACGATATTACTGAAGGGGAATCTTAACATTCCAGTGTACAATTAGAAAAAAGAATCTTTAATGGAATAAAATGTATTGAAAAATGTTAGTCTAGAGTTTTTCTTTGCTGGGCGGGTGGTAACTTGATTAGCTTACCTTAACACGCTGCTGTCAATCATGTCATTTGACCTTGTTTTTATAGCAAATACATTAAAACCAACATGAAATACACATTCATCATTATGATAAGAAGTACTGAACGACAAACAGTCTATGGGAAATGTATTTGCTTTGTACTTTGACTCTCTGAGCTTGTTCCATGTTCCATCTGCTAACCTGGAGGAGGCCGGATTTAACATCAGGGCGCGATTGAGATGTGGGGCTTATCATGTCGTCCATCGTTTGAGGTACATGAGAGAACAAAACTTAGTTCTGAGGTCCGGGTGAGCAGCAGTAATGGAATAGAACGCCAGAATCTAAAAACTTAGCAGAAGCAGCAAATTAATTCATGACATAAATCAATGTAATTAAGCATCTATATATATATATATATATATATATATATATATATATATATATCAGAGGAGATCCACACTGTACAGTTGTGTACCATCTTGCTAAAAGAGCCACCAGGACACATTCTGCCTGTTAAGTCTCCAGACGAATACGTTTTCTGGATTAACTCAGTTGAAACGTGAAGTGTTGTGTCTCGTGATGACTGCTCACTTTTAATCCCTCACAATGATTCATCCCTGTGAGCCGCAGGTCCGACTCTGCATCCGTGACTCATGTCTGCTCAGGTCTCTTTCACCGCAGACGTTTTGACGCTGTGTGAGGAGATGCTCAGGTGATAACATTGAAGATGGCTCTGTTTACTTTCAGACTTCCAGTGATTAACTTCATTATTTACTCTTGTAATCTACTGGTACATGTAACGATAATGTGTTAATAATGATAAAAACACTCTTGATAAATCTTGGAAGTTGACAATTACGTTTAATATGTTTTCTCTCAAATAAAAGGTACAGGCAGATTTTTTTTATTCTCTTTGTTGAACTCCAATTGTTGAAATAGTGCAGATCATGAATGTAAGGAACAAATAATTAGGCCTGGATTTATCCATCTCTGAAAAACATCATGTAAATACTGTCCTACACAAAATAATGTTGTTTAACTCATCTTCAAGTTGTTCTTTCTGAATTGTCGAGCTCTAAATCTAAAGCTTGTTACTTGAGATATGTTTCAACACTGAAGCTGCTTCACTGACAGTCAACAAGTGACTGACTGATTGTGAACTTCGGTGGTTTTCATGCGGAGCAGACTCGTTTGGCGTGTGTGTGTGTTTTCAGTAGCTTGGGGTCTAAGGTCAAACAAACATGTCAGAACCGTCCCTCTCTTATTACTCCGGTCGGTCACACTGGGTCTCGCTGTTGTCTTAACCTCACAGATGAAAAGACTTTGCCCTCCGAGGTGAAGAGGTCACAGAAATGTCCCCAAATCTTTTCCGAACATTTACACTGCAGTGATCGGTGACCTGCTGCATATGTGACTCCATTTGAGTTTCCTGGAGTGTAGATAATCCTTTGTTCTCTTATATTCTGCACATACAGATGGATTATGTGCCGGAAGAAGCAGGACCGCCCCAAAGATGAGGTGAGTCAGCTGAGACGCTGCGACCAGACAGATGGGAGATGATGGGGGGGGGGGAGCAAGCAGGCCTTTAAAAGGGTCAGAGGGGGCGAGTTCAACAGGGCTTACCAGCACCCGTATATGGACTGTGTGGCAGGGGAGGGAGGGAGGGGGGGGGGGKGTTAATGGCAACCCTCCAGTCATAAAAAGAGGGTGTGTCTGTTTTACGGATGAATGAGTCGGCTGATAAGCTTTGTAAAGGGTCTCAAAGGAGGGCGAGGGGCGAGGGGAGAGCAGGGCGACACTGGAGCAGACACTGTTGTCTTTGGCACAGTTAAACACACAGGGTGCAGGCAGACAGCTCACACTGCAGAGCACACGGTGACTCAGGCTGGGTGCTGTGATTGGATCTGGAATCAGAGGATCTCAGCTGATTGGAGTTTTGGTGGCGGCTCTTTTTTCTGAATGCAGCGTGGAGCTGGGAAAGTTTGGTGTCGTGTCATACTCGGTGGAGTCTGAAGTCAAGGATGATGCTCAAGAAAGTCAGATTCAAGGTAGGAGAGTTCAAAGTTGTGTTTTCTACAGTAGAGCTCATCTGCTTTTATCTGTTCTTTAAACTGTTGTGATGATTAGATTTCATAAGGTTGTTACAGACGTTCAGCTGGAGGACTGTCCACACACTATCACCGTGTAGCTTCTGTAGAAATCCTCTTTAGAGTCAGATCAAAGTGACACTGTTCAGTGGAGAGGCCTCTCATGTAACTATGCTGTGACATTGTCGTAAAAAAAAAAAAACCCTCCATCTTGTTGCTCTCAGTCTGAAGATCCCAGCCAGTATCAGCTTCGTTAATCTTTTCCTGTGGATGCTCCAAACTCCTAATGACTCTTTCCTGAGGACACTGATCCGTCTCACAGGACGTGTTGTGTACATTTCCCAAGAGATTTGGTTGAAAGATTAAAAAAAAGAAGAAGAACCATCAAAATCCATCAAACTTCAAACCCATCGACTGACTTGTGATCTGTTAAAGTAAAGATGAGAGATTCTTCCTTCAGAGACAGAGACAAAAACACCATGACGGAATAAACAGTAGGAAACTCTGATAGGTACTTATCCAATCTCTGGAACCACTTTACCCACGTTAAATAAGACTTAATCCACCTGTAATCCACAAGCTTTGTGTCGCATCCTCCTTAAAAAAAAAAATAAAAAACCTACAGTGAGCGAGTGAACAAAGCTCTGCCGGGCCTCTGCTGGATTTCCTTCATCCGCAGCGTTTGCCTGCAGTTCAAAGAGAGAAGCTGCTGCCTGCTGCTCAGGCTGTGTGGTGACACTGAGGCGATAATTACAGCATCAGAGAAGCTGCAGCTCCTTCTTCTCACCGTCCTTAAACACGACTGTAAAAGATTTACTGTCGTCACTAATGTGGCTATGAAACAAGAGACAACAGCTACTGACGTTACTTATTATTTCTTCAGGGAAAATATGTTTCATTCCCCTGCATTGAGTACAAATACTATATATATATATATATATATATATAAACTATATTGTTTCTGTATTTGCACACACGTTTTTTCATGTGCTTGTTCCATGATTGCACCTTTCAAAATAAAAGTCACTGAGCACTTTTAAGACATCATTATAAAACATACACATATCAGATTTGATAGAAAACATCGAATTATCTTAAAATGTGATTTGTTGAGTGGTTACACTTTGTAGCTACACTTGCTTTTTGTTCTTTTCCCTAATTCCTAAGAGTTCAGTTTTAATTCTCACTATATTCTGTGCGTTGTTTTCATTATAGTCTGGACACTATAAAGTAGAAGCTGGCTACTGACGCCCAGCGTTGACTTGTGTAAAGAACAAACTGATGGACTGGTTATTGTTGCTGTGGGGGGTGGGGCGGGGGCGGGGCGGGGGCACAGCGTGCAGGGAAGTGTGAGACACCGTTATTTGGTGTTGATGTCAGGAGCCTGATAATATGCAGTTACCGTAAGTTCAGTCAAATGACACAGGACGATCAAAGTCTCTTAAGCTGAAGTCGTCTAATGTCACTTCCTACAACTCTCACCTGTTGCTGCAGCTGCTCCTGTCATCCTCTCAGAGGTGACACTTTTCCCACGCGGTGTGTCGACAGCAGCGAGAAACAAGTGAGAGTGAGAGAAGCCAAGTCAACACAAACTGAGAGAAAGAAAGAAAGAAAGAAAGAGTGAAAGAAAGAAAGAGTGAAAGAAATGTTGGCTACTCTATATGTCAGAGAGTTACGCTGCCTCACACAGGATACTGGATGAATTCTGTATGTGTCTGTGGAATGTCCTGTGACTGACGATCAAACTGTCCTCAGCAGCTTTTTGTTTGGATCTCTCCTCACACGGCTCTGCTACATTCTGTCTGTGAACCTGCGAAACAACAGCTTCTCTTTGACGGCCACAGTCACTTCAGGGTTTCCAGTGCAATTTCTGAAGAAGGATTCTCTTTTGTGACCTGGAATATTCCCTGAGACGGCATTTCAATTTTCGATAAATGAAAACCTTTTAATGTCCCGTCACTTGAGGGGAAAAGAAGGGAACTTATTAACGGCAGTAAATGAAATATAACAGACACACAGGGTATGAATGCACTCGCTGAAGAACTAGATGACAGTGATGGTCATTTTTAGCCACTTTGGAACGATCATGAACTTCACTTTGTACAAACACAAGATCAGAAAATGTGAACACGCTAAATTAAAAAAGATAAACAGAACAAACAGCATTAAAGCAGCAAAGCATGTTTTAATTATAACTGTTAACATGTACGCTCGCTAACATTTGCATTCAGCTGAAATAGCCACCGTGTTTAAACAAAGCTTTTCTAAATTAGCAACTCAGCTCATATAAGCTACGGGATGTTTTCCTGTGACAAACAAAGATCTGAAACCCAGAAGGAGGAGGGAGAAGACGCACGGATCATTGAAGTACAGATAAACTGAATCTCTCTTCTTCGTAGCCATCATGAATGATAATAACTCAATAATGTGTTTAAAGCTGCTGCCTCTAATTTCTCCTGTGGGCCACGAGGCAGCATGCGTCCGCTGCACTAGATGGCGCTAGTGATCTGCTTTCCACCTGTTTCCTGGCTCAGACGCGGCCCGATAAAGAAATGATGCCTGAAGCTAAACTCTCAGTAATCCTTTGGAACACCGAGGCTCGCAGACATGTGTCTATTATTAAAACACTGCTGGCCATTGTCGGAGACAGGAACAACATCTCAGCGCTGAAGGACGGAGCATGACATGAAGCTTGACGTTGAAGTCATTGCACGAATACTCGGTCACTCAGCAATAGTGTTGTTCAACAAAACAAAGCCGCAGCTTCCTTCAGTGTGGCCCCGGGCTGAGGGGGCAACACGTGGGAGTCTGATCCACCACCCGTCAACTGCAAATACATCCTGGCAAAAAATGATGACCCATTTCCTTCAAGTCTTCACAGTACATTCCTCCCCCCCCTCTGCCGGCCCTGAATCGCTTGGTAATTGAATTTTCCAGCCCGGTCGACAGTATCCGAGGCGTGCAGAGACGTCCAGGCTTTTTGTTCACTGAGTGAGTTACTCCAATCATCTCAAAGGATCAAGTCAGCGCCCATCGAGGCCTTTGATGTTCATAATGAGCGCTTCCCTCAGCTCAGCCCTGCAGCGCTGCACTGTATGTTTCTATAAAGGCGTTAGGATTTGAATGGGTGCGTGGGTGCTGCCGCGGTGCAGGGGGAGAGAGGGGAGGCGAACCCAATGTGCTTTTCATTAAAGATGAAAGCAGGGGGAGCTTTTACTGTTTCAGACCTCTGTTTATGCTAAGTGTGAGGGTGCGTGTATGTGTGTACACACATGAAAGAGATGTTTACCTTTGACCCCCCCCCCCCTGAGCGGAGGAGGCTCAGTGCCACATTGGCGTTTGTCTCATCCAGACAAGACGCTTTAAGGGAAATCGAAATTGTAAATTCACTGCACTCGTCTTAAAGCTGCTCAATCATGCAGATATTTAGCTGAAGTTTACATTTCCACCTTCTGTGGATAGAAATCCCACAGGTCACACCAGTCAGCAGGGGCTTAACGCTCCAGTTACAGATATCCATATATTACTAGTGTCTACTGTGACAGATGTCACTTGTTGTGACTCATTTTGACCACTAGTAGTGCCACAGAGCAGCATTTTCATCTGTAGTTTCCTGTAGTTTTCTTACGGACTGTATATAACACCGTCCCTGGATACGAACTCTCACATCCTGTGCTGAAGTACAGAATCTGCACTGTGGCGATCAGGTGATAAATCCAATGTGTTTATCGAACTTGAGGCTAAAGTGTGTATATCGGTTTCCAATGGTCGTGTTTAAAAATGGAGCGTGAAGGGGCGAAGTGCAATGACTCACACAAATGACAACTTTACACCGGGGTTTTATTTATGAATTACTCCAGCAGGCGGGCTTTTGTTTTCACCCAAAATAGTAACCAAGTGAATGTATTAATCATTTATTTCAAATCTATTAATAAGTGTTTAGTTGACACGTGATTGGCCGATTGGATAATTGGATTGGAACGAGCACCTGCACCGGAACACTGCCCAAGATAATTACAGCCGACACACGTCACACAACCACGCAGCTGGAAAAACTGAGGCGGTAACTGACATTTCAGCTCAAGATGCGTCGCTGTAGCTGAGCGGTTAAATCTGTGAGTAGGTGGTCACGGTGGGAGGCAGAGCTTCGAAAGTAGAGAGTGAGAAAGACATCTCAGTGGTGATTAACACTCATGTATGCTCATATATGTCCGCAGTGAAGATTTCCCACCGGCTGCCAGATTTGAACAAACAAGTTGAACATGTGGCTCAGTTTGGGATGTTCGTCTCTTTAACAGCTGTGTGATTCAGGCTGACAGACGAGTGTGCTTCGTATAAATCACGTTAAATCCCACCAAGGCTCACACGACTGTGCAGTTTGTCATACAACTCAGAAATCAAGCTTTTCCAGATCAGGACACTCGAGGCATTTAGCTGTGAAGTGTTTTTTTTTTACTCACTAAAGTGAAACGCAGCAGTTTCACCAGGAGTTTAGTGATTCGGTGATTTCACGGTGAAGAGTGTCTGGACATTTGCATCATGTTTATGAACACATAAATCAGTAAATGTTCTCTGTCAACAACAACCGGGAACAAAAACAGATTTTCATGAAGTCACTTTGCCAAGTCACAACTTAATCCACTGTAGCTGCAGTGAGAATGAAAGAATGCGTGAGGCCACATGAAAGAGATACGCAACTTCCTGCCGGGCCCAGTCATCTTTCCTGGATCTGAAGATTTTGTTTATTTTATCAAACCGGACCGACAGTGTGATCGCTGCCTGACGGAAACAGTGTCTCTCCACAAGCTCTTCATGAGATAGTAACAGTAATATGGAGCTTTGTGACGGTGCATTTTTCAGGTATTAGTTAATTTAACTGACATAATGTTTAATTTTGTTGGAATAGGAGTATTTTACTTTGTTAGAATCAAAGATCTGGGCCCATATACAGAGTTATGAGA